CACTTCGTGGGTGAGAACAAAGTGACTGACAGGAGTAGTTCAGACCACTGACCATCATCAAACTACTCTTCCCTTCCACCTCCCAATGTCACTGACTAACTTCAAATGTCTCTGGGGAAGAACTGAGTTCAAGCTGGTGTTAGTCACTTATACTCCAGTTTACAAAAAATTCCAATCTCCTGCTAAATACATTTTTTAAAGCATGGGAATATTAAGGAAACTGGGAGCTTAAAGGACTGAGGGAGACATTGTGACGGGATGGGTCTGGAGAGAGGCCGGAGAAGGCCAGACACTCAATGGTGTCTCGCACCATCATCTTAGCTACTCACGAGGCTGAGATCTCAGGAGCCAGCCAGGTAGAAAAATGCCTGAGACTCATATCTCCAATTAACTAGCAAAAAAAAAAAAAAAAAAAAGCCAGAAGTGTAGCTGTGGCTTAAGTGATAGAGTGCCAGCCTTAAGCAAAAAAGCTAAGCAATAGTGTGAGGCCCCGAGACAGAGAAACAGAGACAGAAAAAGACGGGGCGGGATAAGAGAAAATGCCCCATGATTCCCAATTTTAGTCCACAGCCTTTATTGCCGGGTGATTTTTTTCCATCTGTATCAGAGGCATCTTATTACAGAGGACTCCCATCTTGTCACCAGATCTGCTACCAACAGTAAGGACAAGGGAAGGACAGCTGAGCCTCTGCATATTTTGGTAGAGGAACCTCAACCATCTGGCTTCAATGGGTTTCTGGCTTCTCCACAAAGACAGCATTTAAGTATTTAAACTTTAATGTGAGTATTGCAGAAATAGTTTCACAGTCTGTCAAGTGTGTCTTCTTGCCACACTGGAGCAAGGGGACCATGAAGAGGCAGCTCCGAGGTTCTGAGCAGGCAGGAAAGGGCATTCCTTCCTTTCCTCCTCCTGACTTAAGTTCTTGCTTTGTGCCATGCCTGTGCTATGCTAAGTTCAGGAGCTGGGGGAGTGAGACACATTGCAATCCGGTGATGAGCTCATAGTCGGATGAAGCCTGGGAGTCCTGGGAAATGGATCGGAGAAGCTCAAGGCTTGGCTGAGCCAGGAAGGACCTGCCAGACTCAGGGGTCCAGGAGAAAGGAGAACTGAATCCAGGAAAACAGACATAAGGTGTCAGAGGTGACCTTCCTTCCATGCAGGATAGAGACTTTCCCCTGCCCTGCCTATGCCCACTTGTGTGTGTAGGGGTAAGGTGAGTTGTGGGCAGTGATTGCACGAGACCAGTGGGCATTTCTAAGCCAAGGCAGAGTCTTCTAGGTCTCCTTCTCGCTGTCATTCACAATCCCTAACCCTGTGTCCTTAGGCATTCCATGGCTTTCTTAACCAGTGGAGACTAGGTTAAAGACACCCCCTACCTTCCCCCTACCCCATAGAGGTAGGTTCAGCTTACTGCTGGATGATTCCTTTCCAAAGAGAAAGACACCCAAGAAGAAAAGCATGCTAGGAAAGCTCTTGGGATTAGGATTTAGGTAACAATGCAAGGGACAGAAGATCTCTTGATGGTGTTTACCAAGTTTGAGTACAAAGACCACAGAGCAAAGAGCAGGGAAGAACCAGACTGGGACATTCTAGCAAGGCAAGGAAAGCCAGAGGTTGGAGTGACACACAGGCAGAGAAGGCTAGAGGGGAGAGTGAAGGAGAAAGAGCTGGGCTAAGGAGTCCACGAAAGGCCGAATGGTCCATGCCAGAAGGAAGAGCATCCATCCCCACGCAAGATGGGGAGATCTCAGTGGCAACCTTTCTATCAGCCTTCTGGGTAATTAACCATCCTCTGTGTACATAAAGACATAATTACAGGCAAAACAACTCCTTTGATGTAAGCATATAGAATGTCTCAGGGAGAGAGGGGTAAATAAAGTGAGAACAGTCTTGCTTTAGTATGCAAATGAGGTTGATGGAAAAATATTAGCAGACAAACAAATAAAGCCAAACAAACAAACAGAAAGTTGGCAAAACAAGATGGAGACCGAGTAGGCACTCCAGATAGGCTAGGCCACCCTGGGTGTGGGAGTGTTATAGCTGAGCTCATGGGACATTTTTTATTTTATTTTATTTTTTGGCTTTTCTTTCCAAGAGTTCACACACCTTCCACTCAGGGGGGTTGCCTTCCCACTTCCTACCTGTTCTCTGCATAGATTCTCAGCAAGTTGCCAAAAAGGGGCCTGTTTCCTTCTAGAATCAAAGCCCCAGAGAAAAGAGGCTGCAAGAGGGTTTGAATGGCTTCTCCTGGGAAGCAAAGCTAATCGGGAATGGAGCTGGGTTTGTAATCCAGCATCCTGGATGCCTGTCCTGTGATATAACCCTGAAATACCAAGCTTTCGGCTGGAGCCAAACTTTATTAGAGAAGTCTGTTAATTGGGGGAGAGAAAAGGGGGAGGGAGCAATGCGATGCTAATATGATTTAACACTTAATGGGCTCTGAAAAAAAAATAATAAAGAAGGGGCTTCAGGCTTTCCCTTGGCATCTCCATTGTCCCAAGTACATGTTACCAAACTGAATATATGCAACTAAACTTTATACAAGACTCTGGGGGGCACAATCGCAAAGACCCCGTGAAACAAAAAGGCATTTCTCCTGCCTGCACTGTGTCTCTTGTGGTGCCATTGTCTGATGCTTAGAACTCACATAATAACAAAAAACAATGCCCTGTGATGGGGAGAAGACTTGATTTGGCCCCAGTAGTGGTGTTTTTCATGGGAATGATGGTGGGGGCTGGGGTAGACTGTGGGAATAGTGCAAATCAGCACTTTTTTTGGTAGATTTTCTTCAAACCATTGTTTATTTTGGCTTTGGTTGGATCCGTGGCCCAGCTTGAAGATTCCCACTGGGCTTTCAGAAACACACAGACCTATGAGAGATAGAACAAGGATAAATAAATAATTACGAAACACCCTTCCTTTACCCCAGCACTTACGTGTGGGGTGTGTCTGTCTCCGTGGGCGTACACATGTATGCATGTGGCTTGCGGTCCTGTAGATGTGACCCATCCCACCACTAGGGAATTAAAGAGAAGCCAAGATTCTGTCTGAGCTAGCTGTTTTGTTGTATTGCAATTGTCTTTCATTTAGGGGCAAGGGAGATCAGAGCTGTTTTATGCAAGCACCAAACTGGCATTGGATAAAACTGGGTTGAGATCATGTGTTCCCAAGCCCTTCCTAAAAGTCTTTAGAGGTTCATGGACATTTAAACATTTTGGGGTAGTGGTTCTGATGGAAACTAAAAAGTCAGAAATTGTGCTGATAATCGACCATGAACTTTTTTCTCACAGCTCTTAGAAGCATCTACTTTTACCCTAGCCAAAGGAGGCAGAAATCAGCCATGCAAAATCTGTCACAAGATGAAAAATGAGCTAGGAGTATGGGCAGAATGATTGCATTATGGTCTAAAACATGAGTGCATTGGCTTTCAAATGCCAGTTACTGATGGTTCCTGTCGTATCAGCAGCAGGTTATGTTTTTTAAATTATTTGAAAAAAATGCGTGTACACATGTGCACATACCACTGGGGATCAAATCCAGGGTCCAGCAGATACCAGGCAAGCTCTGGACCACTGAGCTACCACCCAAGCCAGATTATGATTTTTTAATTAATTTAAAAATTAATTAAAAAATTTAAAATTCCAAGCAGCTTTACAAGGTGTTAGTTTTTGGATGGGCTGATTGTAGAGATAGTTTCCAATAAAATGCTGAAAGGGCTTCTTCCTTTCATCTTCCCCTTAGATTCAGAGTAGGGGACTCAGACTCTGGCTGGGAAATGTCTTAGTATGGGGCTAGGGATGGAGCTGAATGAGTGTTTGCCTGGCCCTGGCTTTGATTCTCAGCAGGAAGCAGGGTGTGGTGTGTGTATGGGGGGGAGGGGTGTCAGGAGTAGGAGGAACACACACACACACACACACACACACACACACACACAAACTTAGTATGGACCCAAAATGTGTTAGGTGTAGATATGATCTAATCCTCAAACTATCTAATCAGAGGTTTCCAGCATAGGGAGACAACGCAGAAGATCTGGGACTAGACCCAGTCCACGGCTATCCCACTATACTTGTCAGGCCTAGAAAGCACCCGTGGTTGCTGATAAGTGCAACATGATGATAGCATGATACCATGTCTGTTGGGTTAAGGATCTTCAGATCCAAAGTTTGGATTCACCTCGGGGAGGGGAGGAGGCTCCTGGCCTGCCATTTCTGCCTCTGTGGCCCTCTGACAAATACCAGGGAGCCAGCTGTTAGGCACCCTGATGGGAACTTTGCACAGCTGGACCAAGGCTAGGAAGAGTGGTGTGGAGTGATGCTTACCATCTCCTCCCCTTCTTGGAAAATGACTTTGCATTTGAAGAGCTGCAAAGAGAGAGTCAATCAGGGATTTCATCTGTGTGAACACACACATAGCACAGGTGTGTGTGTGTGAGAGAGAGAAATGTTTGTGTTGGGGAAAGGAGTTCCTGGTTACACGTGGTGATTCAATTCTTCTCATGTGAACTGAGCTTTGATCCTTTGCTTGATTCTGAGAGAGGTCTCACAATGTAGGCCTGGCTGGCCTCGAACTCCTGGTCCTTCTGCCTCAGCCTATTGTGAATTGGGCTTTTATTTTATTAAGACAAGGGGTGGGGGGAGGGAGAAAGAAAAGGAAAGTACAAGTTCCAGCAGCTACCATTTTGGGAGGACCTACTGGGTGCCAGACACTATCCCGGATGCTTTCCTAAGTATTATTTCTCTGTAAAGACAAACACACAAAAGGTTTGTATGCAGGTGCACCAGAGACGTGGAGTATTGTTTTTTTTTCCGCACAGCGCTCCGGTCGGTGCTAAGATTTGGGGAGAGGCGGGGACGGGCGTGGGGACGGGCCGGGGGCGGTCCCTGCCTTCAGTCTCCACCTTTATTTTGACTGGTCAGATGGCGGCGGGCAGGCGCTAGGACCCAGGCGCCGGAGCGCCGCCGTCCGTCCTGTAGGTTCATTCAATCTCCCATACACACAGACCCACAGCGAGACCCACACACACACTCGCACACACGCGCACACGCAGCGCTGCACGCAGCCGGGCTCGGGAAGTCAGGCCGGCCCCTCGCCCCGGGAGCCTCCTCCGCTCCAGCAAGGCCGGGTCTCCCCGGGGGGGCCCGGAGCTCCGCCGGCACCGGGGGACGAGCTCGCTCGGCGGACCCCAGGTCCTCCTCCACCAGCACCATGGGCAAACGCGGGCGGCCGCGCAAGGAGGCGCGCGGCGAGGGCGCGGGGCCGGGGCCGGGGCTGGCCCCGATCCCCCCCGCGCCCCCGGCCCTGTCCCCGGCCGCCGCCGCCGCCGCCGCGCCCCAACCCCCGGCCCAGCCCGAGGAGCCGGCGGGGGCCAAGCCCCGGTGCCCCTTCTCGGACATTTTCAACACCAGCGAGAACTCGATGGAGAAGCACATCAACACTTTTCTGCAGAACGTGCAGATCCTCCTGGAGGCCGCCAGCTACCTGGAGCAGATCGAGAAAGAAAACAAAAGTAAGTTTGAGGGGGGCGGGGGGCGCCCCGGCCGCTCCGCGGCGCCCCGCTCTTTCTTTCTCGGCCCCGGTCGCCTGCTCGGCCCGGCCCACCCCATACACACTCACACTCACACTCACATCCACCCTCGGCAGCCAAGCCGATGACACCGGAGAAAGGACACGCACGCACGCACAAAGCTGCTAAAGATGTAACAAAGGCGGGCGCGGGGGCGGGGGGGGGGGGTCGGTCCGTGCGTCCGTGTGTCCGTCCGTCTCGGGCCGGCCGCGGGGACCGCCGAGGAGCGGGGACGGGGGGGGGGGCAGTGTTGTTGTTGTTTGCTGACCACGGAACCCAACGCAGCTCTTCTCCCCGAGGTCGCCTTTCTTCCCTTTTTCTCCCCCCCCCCCTTCCAGAGCCTTCTCAGGCCGACAAGTGTTGTTGTTTTGTTTTGCTTGGGGGGGGGGGGGTCGCTCGTTCCTGGATCCGGGTGAGAGGATTCGGAGCTGAAAGTTGGAAACCTGAGGCAGAGCTCGGGGTGGGGGTGGGGGGGGACCAGAAAGAAGAAAACACACCGACCTGGACACACGCACGCACACACACTCGCGCACACTACAACAATAACAACCACCACCACCCGACCCGCTCTCCACCGCCGGGGCTCCCCCCCCCCGCAGCAGGACCGAGTCCAGGCCGTGTCGTCCACGGTCACAGCCCCCACCCCACCCCCGAGGCCCCCGGGGTGCCACTGCCCCCCCCCCCCAGCCCCTTAAAGAAACAGGCCAGCGGGACCTGGCAACGCCGGCGGCTCGTCCCGGCCCCGCGGTGCTGCCGCCCGGGAAACTTGGCGAAGGGGACGTGGCTGGAAGGAAACTTTGGGATCTGGCCGAAACAATAGTTGGGGAAGGAGGTGTGGGCTGCTGTTGGGCACGGCGGTGTCTTTCTTTTCCGGGAGACCCGGCTCGCGAGGGAGCGCGTGGAGCCAGTCACGCCAATGCTTTCCCGGGTCAATTTCTTACCCCCCCCCCCCCAGCCATTCCGGCGGAGCGCGGTGCATGGGGGGGGGGTGCTAAGAACCCCACCCTGGCCTGGCTTCCTTTTGGTATTTTTTGTTTCATTTTGTTCTTTTTTGTCTTTGCCAGCCGAGTCTCCCCCCACCTCCCCCCCCAGCCCTACCCAGGCTGTCGGCTCCGTGCCCTAACCCGGGCACGCGTGTGCGGTGGTGTCTCCACCACCATCTCCGAGAATAATAGCTGCGAGCAGGGAGCATCGACTGGAGGAAAATGGGATGCTTGATCTGTCGGAATAAGTAGGTAGATCAATGGGAGAGCGAGAGAAAGAGACAGACATCCGATTGCAACGTGTCAGATCTTGCACACACACACACACACCCCAACACAACAGCCACCCCAAACACAAAAACGCCTTCGCCAGCCGGCACCCGGGCCGCGAGGGTCCTGAGCAGCCGAGCGCTGGCAGCGCGATTGTGCAGACGCAGTTACGACCCAAACAAGGATGGTGCGGGCGGTGGGTGGTGCGTTCTTTTCTTTCTCTTCTCGCCTGTTTACTCCGAGTGCCTGGCTGGCGAGGGGCGCATTGGCGGCGGCGGCGGGGCCCCGAAGCTGAGCGATCCTTCGAGGGGGTCGTGTGTGTGTATGTGGGGGGGACGGGTGTACATTCATCCGGTGGATAGTTTCTGAAAAGCCGGGGCTGGAACTGGACGCAGACGCGGTTTTATTTGGCGTGTTTGCTTTTGTTGCACGGGGGGGAGGGGCGCGATTTGTTTAGTTGCCCCCCCTTCTCGGAGGGGGGGTGTAGGGGGGCTGGGTCTCTAGAGTCTATCCCGTGATCACTGGGGGGGGGGCTGTACCCAAAGAGGGCACCTTGGCCCGGTATGACGAGCCTGATCCCCCCCCCGCCCCCTCCATCGAGGTAAATTAAGGAGGTGGTCTGGGCTTCCTCGGCGTCCCGCGCCTCCCTTCCCTCCCCACTTTCGTACCCGCAGACGGCCGGAGCCCTTTACCCCCCCCATCTCCACACACACACACACACACACACACACACACACACACACACACACACACACACACACACACACACACACACACACACACACACACACACACACACACACACACACACACACACACACACACACACACACACACACACACACACACACACACACCCTCCACCCGCCCCGCCGCCCTGGCGGCCGCCACCTCCTTGTTTACCCCGTGCCGGGGATCCGGCGTGGCCACCAGTCACGTAAGCAGAAAGCCGGGCGCGCCGGGCCGGGCTGCCCAGTGCGGGCGGGCCCCAGGCGGCCAAGGTGCGGGGGGGGGGGGGGGCTCTGGATCCTCAGCACCCCCCAAAGTCAACTTCGTGTGCGCCATCAGCCCCTCGGCCTCGCTGCACCCCCTTCCTCTGGCCCCGGGGAGCGTTTTTATTTTCTAGCTCTCGCCGCGGTTCGGCTCTCAATGACGTGATGCCAACGGCCCCCAGATTTCCCCGAGAGCGTGGGGCGCTGCGCCCGGCTCGGCTCCAGGCCCTCGCCATCCCCCCCCCCACCAGCTCGTGCAAACGGCGCGGGAGGAGCCGGTGGAGCGGGAGAGTGACCTCCAGCAAACTCCACGCCGCCACCCGCCGGACCCCTTATTACCCCCCCCACACACACCCTCTGCTAAGGCGAGCGGCCCGCGGAGACCACTCTATCCTCCCCGTTCTGCTCCCTCCCCGCCCGTCGGAGTCTCCCCGCACGGAGATCGGCGGGCGCTACGTCTACAGCTGTCGCGTTTTCTTGCGGGCGCTTCTTGGACGCTGGCGGCGCTCGCGGTGTTTTCTCTGGCTGCACACAATGCCCGCGCGTCACGGCGGCCCGCGTGTGCGCAGCACCAACGCGAGCGGGGGGGGGGGGGTCGTGCGTGCGCCGGGCTCGGGCACTGCGGGTCGCTCGGCGCGCGCGGGGCTTGTTTTGCTCCCGAGCTTCGCTCTCCGAAACGCTTACATCATTCAGGAGTTGGGGGAGGGCCGGGAGCTGGGCGTTCCGATCGGATTCCAGCATTCCCCAGGTCCCTGCGTCCTCCGGGGAAGCCTGGACCCGAGCTTTTTAATTCACCGAGGGGCAGGGCGAGGATTTTCACGCTATGTTCGTTTTGCAAAGTCCCTGTTTTATTGATTGATTATTTTTTAAGGTCACTCCTGCAAAGGGCATGCCTGGCTGGCTCAGGTGCACAACCTCCCCGCCTTTATTTCAGCGAGTTCCCCGGTAATCACTGGATCTCGGTTTCTCCGCCTCCTCCTCCCCCTCCTCCTCCTCCTCCAGTTCCCCCTCCCAGCTGGAGACACATGGTTTCCACATGGAGACAAACTTCTTTCCTCCGACTGGACTTGACCTAGCTGCACCGCTCAGCCAATAGACAGCGGCACTTTCAGCTGACGTCATGTGTTGCTGGGGCCGGAGGCTAAGGGGCGGGACCAGGATGCTAGCCAGGAAATCTCTGGGAGTTGTAGTGCAGCCAGCTGGTCCAATCTTTTCTTAAAGGGCCGTTCTCCCCAGAGATGAGAGTGTCTGGCCCTCAGCTTCTCCATTTCGGTTTCTGTGAGCCCTTTCCCCGAGATGCACCGATAGCAGCCGTGGTCACGAGTTCACACGTCCCGTTTTTACTGGTTGCAAAGTTCTTACTTGGCCGGGGAGCTTGCCTTATTTTTCCATGATAGCGAGACCTGCCTATTTTTCTTTGCCTCGTTGGGCTTTTCATCCCTAGAGGCGTTCACCAAGTTGTGGCCACGGTGAGGAACTATTTCCAGTAGACAGAGTAAATTATTCTGGAGAAGGGGTTCGGTGCTGATTACCCTCTGAGGACAAGGCTAGGGGATTCCCTAGGAAATGCAGGTACATTTTCCCCAAATGCCACCCGATCCAAGTCCTTACAACTAAATTGAAGGCCTCCAAAATAGTAATGCTGGAGGCCTGATCCTGCTATTATCCAGAAATTCTGTGTGTGGATAACCTCTGGCCTCAGCACCTAATATGCCTGTGGGATCCAGGGGAAGACTAATCATTTGACACAAACGATTTAGTCTCTGTTCTGGAAAAGCTCATAACTAAAAGGGAAGAAGAGTGGCAGAGCTGGTTGGCTGGCAAGTAGAAGCTGTATCAGGGAAGGCCTGGAGGAGGTGGCTGTGGAGGCAGCACTAGGCAGGGATGATTCGGTGGGAGTAGAAAGCCTGGATTGTTCTCTCCAGATTACTTGGATGGGGTGTGTTCCCAGAGGCATGGATTGGCCCAGGAGCCAGGCTCTTCCTCCTACTAGAGGAAGCTGCTACTGGAAGTTGCTGCTGTGTGGTGTCACTTGGCCTCACCCTACCTTCCTGAGTTAATTTCCTCTCCTGGGCCATGAAACCTCTGCCCCTGTCCAGTCCAGCAGGTTCCCCAGCTAGCAGACTTCATGGCCATGCCTCTGTGCTTGACACAACTCTTCCCTCCATCAAGAATGCCTTCCTGCTACAACGCCTTCCTGCCTACCACTGTGGCTCACAACTGTCATCCTAGCTATTCAGGAGGCTGAGAGCTCTGAGGATCATAGTTTGAAGCTAGCCCAGGGAGAAAAGTACATGAGACTTTTATCTCCAACCAGCAAAAGCTGGAAGTGGAGGTGTGGTTCAAGTGGTAGAGCACCAGCCTTGGGGGAGGGGGCCCGGGAAGCCAAATGAGATCACAAAGCTCCCCATTTAAGACACACACACACACACACACACACACACACACACACACACACAAAAATACAAATGTCCTCTTCTTACTCTTCTGAGGTTTCTGTATTCAGTCCTTCCTTTAAGGCTTCAGTCAGTTCTGACCTCTCCCATTTCTTTTCTTTTCTTTTTTTTCTTGCTTTTTTTGTTTTTGTTTTTTTTTAAGAATACATTTTTAGGGCTGGGAAGGTGGCTCAGTGGTAGAGCGCTTGCCTTGCATGCCTGAGGCCCTGGGTTCGATTCCCCAGCACCACATAAGCAAAAAG